AATTCCTTCGCCTCCGCCGCATCTGCTCCCAGGATGAGGCATTCCACTCCCGTACATCTCAGTTGTCCTCGTTTTTCAAGGACCGTAACTTCCCCGCCTCAGTGGTCGAGAACGCCCTCAACCGTGTCTCCCACATCTCCCACAACTCATCCCTCACACCCTGTCCACGCAATAACAACCAAAAAAGAATCCCCCTCGTCCTCACGTACCACCCCACCAACCTCCGGATCCGACGCATCATCCTCCGACACTTCCGCCATCTGCAATCCGACCCCACCACCAAAGACATCTTTCCCTCCCCACCCTTATCTGCTTTCTAACATTGTTTAGATTCTGCTTAACAATCGGAGACATAATTCAGGAGGTGGGATAGTGTAGTATGATATCACACTTGTTTTTGCCCTGAGGAGATGGCTCAAATTTATTAGTTTTGGGAGGTTGTAGGGAAATGGGAATGTGTAAAACCGGCTTCCAAGTTTGGCTTAAATTCAGGTAAAGTGGGATATCTTCCAATGTAATGAAAACTGGTTATGTGTTTCGTTAGTGAAGCAGTGATTAACCAGTTGAGATAGCTGGATTAAATCACAATCGATTGTGTACCAAGAAGCTTGTTGACAAAATGATTAACAACTCATTCTTACTGGAAGATACAAATGTGAATACTGTTCATAGACAGGATTACCCTTGGCTGAGATTCATCCTGTAAAACAAAGAACCTAACTGTTCGCTCTGTTCGGCCTCTTTTTGACTGAGGTTCTGGATAATGCAGGTGCCTCTGTAGTTGTACCCTAGCAAGAGCCAGCAGCATCTGGAAAGCAAATGGGGAAAAGTGCTTAAAGTGCACGTTGTCACAGCATCCTCATTATAACAACTACTTAAAAGGAAGATAATTATTTTTGTAGAAGGGAATGTAGCACTCAATTAGTGAAGGTGTAAACATGCAATGTTGCCTACGTTCTACCTATCTATAATACAATGAGTTTGATTTTTTATTGTAATTCAATTTGTACGATTTATAACGGATTCCTCTTTTACTTTTCCAGTGATATTTGGGCCTTGGGATGTGTCTTGTATGAACTCTGCACTCTACGGCATCCTGTAAGTAGCAGTTTTCAGAAGAACAGTTGGCAAGTCCTCTGCTGCAACATAAACAACTGATATTTATTTAGCACCATTAATGTTGTCATACATCCCAAGGCACTTGGGGTGGCACAGTGATTAACACTGCTGCCTCACAGCAGCAGGGACCCGGGTTCGATTCCAGCTTTGTGTGACTGTCTGGAGGTTGCACATTCCATGTCTGAGCCAGTTTCTGCCAGGTACTCTGGTTTCTTCTCACAATCCAAAGATGTGCAGGGTTAGGTGGAATGGCTATGCTAAACTGCCCTGTTTTGTCCAGCGATGTGCAGTCTAGGTGGATTAGCCATAGTAAATATGTGTGGGTGTCTAGGTGGAATGCTCTTTGGAGGATCGATGCAGACTCAGTGGGCTAGCCTATATCTGCACTGTAGAGGTTCTATGATTGTATGACTTCCCACATGCAGTATAAAATGGGCAAGGTCATGGAGGGAACTGAAAATCTGGATGAGAATTTTAAAATCACAGTGTTACTTGACCAGAGTTTAATGTAAGTCAACAAGCACAGGGGTGAGAGGGGAATGGAACTGGCTGTGAGTTAAGACAGGAGTACAGTATATTAGATAAATCCAAATTTACAAGCAGTAAAATGTGAAAGATCAGCCAAGAGTAGGTTAAAATAGTTGTGTGCAAAGATAGTGAAGAGGGTAAAATGAGTTAAGAGTGGCTGGTCGAGGATTTTTAATAAAAGAAAATCAGAACACTTTCCAATTTTAACCACATGGGGATTGTCTTTAAATACAGAATCTCTGAAGATAGTTAATGATGTAGGGAGATCAAGACAGAAGCTTAAAAAAAAATCATCCAGCCAAAAGATTATTGCTTTAAAAAAACTATTGCTTTAAAAAAAGACTATTCATACAACCTGTTATTCAGTCAAAGTGTCTTCCACTGAATGCATTTTCTAGACGTGCAGGTCATGTTTTGAATTTATAGTGTGAAAAGTAAATTTCTTTTCTCTTGTATAGTGCAAATAAAGATGTTCAATGCTTTTTTCTTTATCAGTTCCAGTCTAATAGTTGGAAGAATCTCATCCTGAAAATCTGCAAAGGGACTTACACTCCAATTCCAAGACATTACTCCTACGAGCTGCAATACATCATAAAGCAAATGTTCAAAAGAAATCCAAAGGATCGTCCCTCTGTCAGCACTATTCTTGCTAGGAATTGCTTTGCAAAGCTTATTAACAAGTTTTTATCACCTGAGGTGAGACATATCCCAGTGCTGTTTTTCTAATTGGATGAAGAATTATTCATGAAATATCTTACTTGTTTTAGATGTGGACTGGCTTTTACATTTCCAGTGTTTGAGGATTAAATTGTAATTTCCATCCTTTGCACTTTTTTATTGTTGGTTTTATTGTGTTAGTTCTTGGTTACAGGAACAGGAGGAGACTATTCAGCCTGTCAAACTTACTCTGCATTTAACTACATCATGATTTCTCTTCTTTGTTGCTTGTTCATGCTATCTCCATATCCCATGAATGCTCCAGCAATCTTTTGATTACTTGAACATGATCAATGACTGAACTTGCACAGCCCTTTGCGGGAGAGAATTCCAAAAATTCATTGACAAAAACAAAGTTGCTGGAAAAGCTCAGCAGGTCTGGCAGCATCTGTAAAGGAGAAAACAGTTAATGTTTCAGGTCCGGTGACCCTTCCTCAGAACTGATGGTGGCTGGGAAAACGTCAGTTTATATGCAGAAAATAAGGAGGTGGGTGGGGTAGGAAGTAAATGATAGGATAGAGTGCCTTTAATTATGCATCTTGGACATTATTCTCTATTACAATTTGATGCTTGCCTATGTTTCATTCTGTTTTTGATTTCTACTCTTTCACTTCCTTTTAACCATTTTGCTTCACTCAAATCTGAGCTCCTTCTCAGGTATATTTTGTTATGTTCAATCTGTTCTTCTAGATGGTTAAGAAGGAGTTTTGTGAAGTAAAAGCCATAAAGAAAACAGCACAGGATAAACACAGGAGGATCGTGAAAGGTATGAAAGCATTTTAGAAACTAATTCTTGGGAAATAATGCTACATGATATTTCTATTGAATAAGTTATGGAATTAATCCATATACAAGTTTGCAAATTTCAATCCATTTCAGCCAGTGTACCAAGTAAATATGAAGATGTCTCCTCCAACGCTGGTGGAAGTGCAAATATGGTTTGTATGAATTCTTGGTAAATATGCTTTAATCTTTAATTACTGCTACTTGCAAGGTACATGTTGCGTATAAACGTTAGAATAGGAGATGTAAAGAATGTCACTCTAGCCATGATTCCCTCTCCTACACATTATGTCTGTGATAGAAAGTGTAGATGGATTTATACATCCCATTTGAATAACCTTTTGATGTTCACTGTTTCAATGTGTACATCAGGAACTGTCATGTGGTTGAAGTGCAGACATTTTGAGAGTAGTGTGATGATGCTGCGGCTTGTTGTATTTTGTCCTGCTTTCATTTAACAGAGAGATTGAACAACAGGGTACTGAGGATTCTGGTAATGTAAATAGCTTTTGAGGCCTGGGTTTTTAAAAAAAATTTGGAACAATAAAAGCAGCCTGGCTGAGCGTGGCTAGCTCTCACAGACCAGGATTTCTAGCTTTTTTAGCTCTTAGGTTCAGCTTTAAGCAGAAGCTGCTGGTGTTTTGAAGAAATATAAACTAATTTTCCCGCTCTACTGGTTACAGCTGGAAGCTAGGGATTTTTTTCCCATTATAGGCATTGCATATGACAAAATCTGATTTCCAAATTTGCCTTTTTGTCAAGGGGTGTGTTGATGGGAAGTTACTATATTGGAACAGTTAATTAGTAACAGTTACTATATCTATTATTCTGTTAATTTTTCCAATAGAGTTAAGTTATTCTTTTGTTGTATTTTAACTATAGTGTTTGAATAATTAGTGCTTGCTCAACGTTGATTAGTTTGGCCAGTCGAATTGCATCTGGAACACAGCATTTTACATTTGCCTTTAAAATAAGAAAAAGTTAGGGTCTAGGCTGCCTTCTTAAAATATTTTGAGGGGATCTGGTCTGGTCCATAACAATAGGAAAATCTATGAAGAAGGTAAGCTATATTGTCTATGCATTGCAGGCTCAGTTGAGATTGTTAAGACTGAATTATCACATTTAACATCATACTGAATTGACTAACATAGATCTTCATGCTTGATGAGATACTAAAGAACATTCTCTGATCAACTCCATTTTGTATCATTGCTTAGGTGTTGTTATTCTTCAAACTACTGTTGACAATCCAAATCCTCCAGATGCATTGATTTAGTTCATGCCATTATTTATGAGTGTTACTGTTAAGGCAAAAACAAAATAAAAACCATGAGCAATAAATTTATATAAGGAGACTATTGTCATTCTAAAAACTTTATAACAGCCATTTTACATTCTTACCCAGACATTAACATTTCCCTCATCCTTGACACACTCTTTCTTCTCTTCCCTTTATAAGTGTTAGAGCTGCCTGTTGTTCTCAGTGAACAGAAAATGGCAGCCTGTGGTTTTTAATTGATGTAAAAATGGCCAAAGAAAATTGTTCACTGAAGCAGTAATTTACACAGTCAGAATTGTGGCCTTCGTACTCATAGCAACTAGATAAGATATAAAGTGTCTCATAAAAATCACACAATGGGATCTTATTAGGAAGCAGCAAAAATGCAGCCACTGCTTATACAGATATAGTTTTGATCCTTGGAAGCACTGATAGAAGCCCTTCTTGCAAACCAATTTAAAGGCTTTTTTCTATTTAATATGGGATAGAAGGAGAAAAACATGACTTACATTGATCAAGACCCTTTAGGTGATCATTTACATGTATAAATAATGGAATTTTAAATGTAACAGACATTAAGGGATTTAACTGAATTCCTATGGACAGACAGCCTTAGACAGCAGGGAGAAGCCCCCACTTTGTAGAGAGAATTGAATAACAGGTGCAGAAGTCAGCAGTGACACTAGACATTAAAGATCCCCTATCTATTTACGTGACTCCTAACTTCACTTTTTGCCAGTAGACTCAGTGATGAGGAAATCAAATATGCATGTACTGAGCAAGTCCAAATTGTACATAATGGATAGCCTGGTTTGCTACAACTATTCTCCATGTTTTATAGGAAGCTTCGGTAATCCTGACTAGAATACAATTGTGGTTGCATAAGATACATCGTGAGAGCCCAAGGATAGGTGATAAGGACTCTGGTAAATATCATGAGATCATGGCAAGACCTATCAATGAAAATCAAAATAATCATGCAGTCTCATGATTGACCTGATTGGATATATATGTAATCAATCAATAACACGGTTGGTTTGCAATTGGTTTGTAAACACTAAGGCCGGCAGAAAACAAATGTATAAGAGTTTACGTCTTTCGTTTGTTCAACGAAGAAGCTTCTAGACCTCCAAAGGAACATCAATAAACTCTTGGATACTGGAAGTAGACTCTGAGTGTGGGGTGATTCACTTAGTCATTCAGCTCCAATAGTCAGTATGATTTAGAAACATTAAACATTCAGTATTGCCTAAATTAGAAGGGCAGGACTGTATGTATTCTAGTCAGCATTACTGAAGCCTCCTGTAAAATATGGAGAATAGTATTAAACCAGGCTATCCATTATGTGCAATTTGGACTTGCTCAGTACACGCTCATTGATTTGCTCATCACTGAGTCTACTGGCATTGAATGAAGGTACGAGTCAAGTAAATAGATAGGGGATCTTTAATGTCTAGTGTCACAACACGCTTCACATTCTGCCATAAGATACCAAGCTTAATTGCCATAACAGGACAATTCTACTAAAATATCAGAAGAGGTGTGTAGCACTTGATGTGGTTTGGGTGTGCCAATTTTGGAATCTATGCTGTAAATCAGGTGCCAAATATTGATAGATAACAGCATCAATTTGCTGCCCAATTTGTAAAGTCCACAGGAAAAATTGCTTTCTTGGTTTGCGAGGCCATTTATTTTTAGTGTTGGTGTTTCTGTTCGATACTTTTCCCTTTTTGCTTTTTGTGTGTGACCTGATCTTACCTTCTAAGGAAACCACAAAGACTTCACCAGATGTTAGAAAATGGAACCCAGCAGAAGGAGAAAGCATTGCTAAGAGATTAGCTCAAAAAGCATTGGAAGAAACAGCTTCTCAAATGGAAGGTAGAGTAGTTCTTTAAAGCAACAGTTCTGTTGATATTTTCAGAGTGAAATTTCCAAATGTGGTAAATTAGGCTGGCTTTGTTTGCCGTCATCAACAATTATGAACTACAAAGCTTTCACTGTCACTTCCCCTACTGATGCTAACCCTGACATATATGTGTTATTTTGCAATAATTTATAAACATTTCCTAATTGAAAGCACTCCGTTTGATATACTTGGTCTTCTCCGTGTTTACATCTTACCATTTTTCCTTTCTTCTTGCTGATTTTACAGTTCTGTTTTTGTGACATTTATTAATGCCAGAAATACGATACGTTAATTCTTGTACATTAATGAACTTATTATGTGGAAATAAACAGATTGATTAACATAGCTACATATTCAGTTCTCTCAAAAGTATGAGATTTGAATCCCCAATCAAATTAAATTGTACATATTTTGTGTAACTAGCAGAATTAGAGAATCAAATGACTTTTATTTTCATGCTGTCTTTGTGTATGTTCTCAGAGATAGTAAGAACTGCCGATGCTGGAGTCAAAGATAACAGAGTGTGGAGCTGGAGAAACACAGCAGGCCAGGCAGCATCAGAGGAGCAGGAAAGCTGACGTTTCGGGTCGGGACCCTTCTTCAGACAA